AGGTCGTGCCCCTGAGGTTTGCTATCCATGCTCAGCTCCTACCGTCAGAGAGAAGCACACAGGGACAATGGGTCAAGAAGTCAACTGTATCCACTCCCCACATCTAAAATGCTGGCTGACACCCCGTTGGAACCACCACACACTTAGATGCCCCCGTCAGTGCAAAACCACGTCTTCCTCTTCCACTTAGTAAGTTTCCTTCTTCACCTTGGCTACCGGGGAACTCATGCTAGGACAATGGTCAATCATAACTATTAGGAGGCCTATCTGCACCTCCCTTTCTTTTAAGTTCAACTCACACTTTTATTTTCTATTTTATTCTGGTTTGTTTATTTTATAAGCTGTCTTTTACCCTTCCTGTTAAAAAAGCAGGGTCTAAACAAAGCCTACATGTAATGTTTTTCTACAGTTTTGTGGCACGTGGAGTTATCAACACACAGCCCTTGATTCCAAGAGTGTCTGACTTGGGGGCTGTGTGCCCCGGGCTCCTTGAACTCTCCCAAGAGCTAAGAGGTACAGAGAAGCCCCTCTGATAAGACCTGAGACCCTGGAAGCACAGACACACACAGACCACCTCCCACCGCCACGGCCCCAGATGGGCTCCGGAAGGCCGGGCCACACGGTCAGGCTCTTACCTCTTGCAGGTACTGCTCGGGTCAGGCGGGAGGGCAGCTGTGTCCAGCACGCCCTGAGTGTGCAGGCCTCTCCCCACCCCATTGCCAAAGATGCCCTCCAGGGTGAAGCCGTTGGGGAAGGTGACTTTGCCCTGGGAGCCAGGAGAGAGAGGCAGGGATGTCTGTGTACTGTCTGTCTGTCCAGCAGCCCTTGCATCCAATCATGACAGGCCTCGTGTGGTCCATTCCAGGTCATAGAGGCTAGGGGCTGGTGGGTGGCCTTCCCACCATCCATTCGATCCTCCCCAGCCTGAGGGACTCATAACCCTCCACCCCTGCAGGAGCCCCCCCACCAAGAGCTGGAGACAGAGAGAGAGAGAAGGGACTCGCAGCTCAGAGCGGGGAGAACCACCACTCTGGGGCCGGGGTGGGCAAGTCCAGAGGTCAGCAGAGGCCTGGGGAGGGCATGGGGCACCGCTGGCCCTCGGGAGGGGCAATCCTTTGCTGCATGGGGCTGTCCCATTCCTGGCGCTCCTGGTCCACCCACCAGATGCTACGGTGGCCTCCAAGTCATTACAAAACCAAAACAGCACCCACATTTCCAAAAGCCCAGCAAGGACACCACTGCCTTCTGCTGGGTCAGCTCGGGCAGGAAAGACCGTCACTCCGGCGGCACCTGCCCGAGGCACTGATGGTGGCCCTGGAGGGGGCAGACACTCCGGAAGGCCCCCAGCACCCGCCACACCCATCGCAAGCACGCCCCTCCCCTCTCGACTCCCACCAGGATCAATCACACCCCCACCGCAGGGAAGGGTCCCTGTGCCCACCCCTGGCTGCGTGGAGATGGGGAGGTCCTCCCCTCCCTTCTGCGCCCACTGCCCACACCCTCAGCCTGGGCCCTGGGAGGCGGGTGCAGGCTCCAGCCCTGGCCTCGGCAGAGAGTGGAGCAGGCTCTGTGTCCCTCACCTTCCCCACGAGGGCCAGGTCCCTGGTGAAGGTGCCCTCGTACAAGGAGTCATCTTCAGAGAGGAGGATCCCTGGGCCCTAGGGAAGGGTGCCAGGGACAGGAGGAAAAGACGGGGTGGGGAGGAAATGGTAGGAAAGGAGGGAGTAGGCATTAATTCACAGGGAGCAGGGTCCTGAGTCCCGTCGCACCTCCCAGGACTGTGGCTGGGATGCCAGCCCGGCCCGCTGCGCACCGAGCGTGAGCCCCAGGGACCTCATCCCCGAGTCACCCTGGGGCCTGGCTCCTCCTCCCCAGGGACCTCTCTCAGGAAGCCTCTTGGGGGACCCTCCCTTCGCTCCGATGGCTCTGGAAGTTCTGCACGTGTCCTGAACCATCTCCCCCTCCCTGTCGCTGACCCCGGGGCTGACCCCGGGGCTGGGGACTGGAGAACCGATCAGGCACTCTTGCTGCACTGGCTGCCAGGAAGCTCAGAGCCAAACAGGATACAATTTCAGTTCCACTTATTTCTGAATCTAGTTTATTGCTCATTCCTGTCTTTTCTTCCTCCTTTGACCTTTTCCACAACAAAGCATAGCATAAATAAACAAACCAACCAGAATAACAACAACAGCCATGAGGCTAGAGCCCTACTATGCGCCAAGCCCCTGGTAGGGTAGGGTGAGGCAGGAGGCGACTGCTGGGTGCCCGGGCTCAGGAGACCTGGGTTTGAGTCTCAACACTGCCACTCATTAGAACGTGACACTGGGCAAGTTACCTGACCTCTCTGAGCCGCGCATTTCTCATTCATACAGTAGGGACAATGACATGACCCGCAGGGCTACTGGGAGGATCCCACAAGATCATGCGTCCAGGGCTAGGCACCCAGAGGTCCGTAACCGCAGCTGCAGAGGCTGCTGGCAGCACCCTCACCACGCACTCCACTCCTGCTAGTTCACTAGTCTTTATGATAAGTAGTTAATCTGAGTTGCTGAGGGGGAACTTGGCCAAGGCCAGAATAGGTGGGTGGCAGAACTGAATCTCTGCCCAGGTGTGGCTGCCTCCAGCACTTAGGAACTCAGCTTCCCACCCACCCACCCCTGACCAGAGCAGGGGGCCCTCCAGAGCCGGGGGGCTCCAGAATGCAACCCCGGTACAAGGAGATGGCAGCTCAGGACACACGCAGGTCACCCCACTCACCACCATCTTGTCCGCCTGGAAGGTCCCCTGGTAGCAGACTCCTGCCTGGGTGACCATGACCCCTGGGCCATGGCGCTGGTCGGCCTGCCACATGCCAATGTAGCGCTCACCCCTGGGAGAGGAGGGGGGTGGCCAGAGTTGGATCGGAACTGTTCTCATGAGCCTGTGTGTTTTGCTGGCATGGCAGGGGGTGGCAGGTAAGACATGACAACTCAGACATGAAGCAGATGAGGTCGGGTGCCCCAAGAGTGTGGGAGATGGAGGGAGACGACCTGGGTAAGGGCACCCTGGCAGTCTTCCTGGGGGAGGTGGCAGAAAGGGCAGATGGAGCGGGGTGCCATTCACGAGTGCGCAAAGCCATGGAGGTCGGCGTGTGTGACAGGTATGTGAGGGTGTTCAGTGGTCAGAAGGCTGGAGGGGTGGCCCGGGCGTCACGGCAGGGGTGAGGTCAGAGGAACAGGCTGGGCTCCAGCGCTTCGTCTGACAGCCCAGAGGGCCTCAGATGGCCCCACGGGGGAGTCAGGACCTCCTCCCAGAAAGCAGGAGGAGGCACCAGAATGGGGAGGCCCCTGCGGTCATGGAGGCCAGCCCCCTCGTCCTGAGCCTAGTGACAACCGCAGGGGTGAGGGGCAGTGAGGGACTTCAGAGAGAATCTGCGGGACAGACAGAGCACACTCACTGACACGGGGCACACACTGCGAGGCGGTCCTGGGGGTGGCCGGGGAGCACTCACCTCTCGCCGTCCTCCCCGATGCCGTAGCCGCTTCGCTGGCCCCTCTCCCAGTGGCCCGTGTACTTGCAGTGCTGAGGGGCCTGCGGGGTGCTCTCGAGGACCCCAAACCCATGCCGCAGGCCCGCCTGGAAGTAGCCTTTGTACACCTCGTCATTGCCGTACCTGGACAGGGTGACCGGCGGCTGGCCCTGCCTCCCAGAGCTTGGCCAAGGGGACGTGCCCTGCCCACGAGCCCATCCCACCATCAGGCCAAGGGTCACTTACTCACAGATGCCGTAGCCACACATGCTGCCTTCCTGCCAGTGGCACTTGTAACAGTCAAACTTGTCCTCGGAGGCCTGGGGCACCAGGCGGATGCCAAAGCTGTCAGCGGGGGTGGGCGGGGAGGGACATCAGCGCCAGCACAGCTGCCCGGACCCCGGACCGGCCGCCGTACCCCCTCCATGCCACCAGGGGCGTCTCTGCCTCCAGGGGCCTTCCCAGACGAGGGGGGACTCTCAGACGCCGGACCCCATCTTCTTTCCAGGCCCCTCCATCCTGCCCCCACGCCTCCTGGGAGCGCCTTCTGGCTCTGGACCACGCCCTCCACGGCCCGCCCCTGCTCGGGCCCTGGGTAAGGGCACCCTGGCAGTCTTCCTGGAGGAGGCGGCCCCCTGGCAGTCTTCCTGGGGGAGGCGGCCCCCTTTTGTACAATGAGGGGAGCTGGACCAGGTGGCCTCTAAAGTTCCTATTCAAGGTTTGGGAATTTAGGATGAGGCCAGCCCAGCGACCTTGACAGGGACGAAAACCACTCTCCCCGCCGCCCAGACATTCCCACGTTAGCCTCAGCCTCACCCGTGCTCCAGGCCCTGGCAGAAATTCCCCACATGATTCCGCCCGTCTGGCCACCTCAGGGTCCCCCTGGAACACAATCAAGGTCCACGGGCATCAGGCACACCAGACCCATCCCTCCACATGCACATGACCCCCAGCCTCAGACTCTCTCTCCCAGTGGCCTGAGTCCCCTCGGACTGGCCTCTCTGCCCCGCCCAGCCCTGTCCTCTGAGCTCAATGACCCCAGCACTCCCAGCCCTGTTGAGTGTGCCCCGCAGCCTCGAGGGGCACACTCAACTACACCCGGGAGGGAGAATTCTGGAAACATCCAGGTTCCCTTTTCCCTTTGACCTATAGGAAACTCAGAGCCAAATGCTAGTCAGTGGGGTTTCTACCATCCTCCTCTGCTCGTCTGACACGCATCGTTTTTTCGATCTTTTAGTTCCTAAGCTTTGTCCAGCCCTCTCTGGAAGTATCGGGGTATCAGAACTAGCAGACGCGCTCAGGAGTGTGACCTCAGCGAGTCCCTTCTGCCTTCTGGGCCCCAATTTCCCCGGCTGTAGCACAGGGTGGGGCTTCTTCAAAAGCCGACCTGCCCGTGGCGTCAGGTGGGCCTGCCACTGTGGCCAGGCTCCCTCCCCCTACGACCGGCCCAAGGCCTGGGGCGAGTCATGCCAGTCTCGGGCCTCAGCTTCTGCACCTATAAAACAGGTGACCCCACTGCCCCAGAGCATTCGTGTGAGGACTGACGAAGACAGGACGTCTGCAAACCGTGTCCGCCACAGCTACACAATGCCACGCAGACACGAGGATTATGTCGCCACCTCCTGAGAAAGGGTGACCACAGGCCCTGCAGGCCAGCACCCCTCTCCCCCGCACTGCCCCCGACGTCTGCCCACACCCCCGCATCACCATCACCAAGACTTTATTTGCCACAGACCTACTATGGCCAGGTCCTGTCCAAGAGGACTCAAGAGAGACTCTGGGGGACAAACAGAATGGACCGACTGACCACAGGAAGTAACCGCCTTTGGCTCGTGCCCCATGGGGGTCCTGTCTGCCCCCTCAGACTCCCAGGGGGAGCCCCGCCTTGCCAGATCCAGAGCCCCACTCACTTGCCATGGGGCCTGCCCTGGCACCATTCACCCTCGTAGGTGGCCTGACAGAGCCGGCCCTCGGCCAGGAAGGTATATGCCATGGAGCGGCAGGTGGGGGGCTGGGAGGGCTCCGGGCCCGCCCCCAGCACCGGGAAGTCCTTGTTCCCACGCAGGGCCTGGCACACGGCCTGGGTAACCTTCCACTTCCAGACCGCCTGGGAGGAACAGGGAAATCACAAGACAGGTCATTGCTGCCGGAGGCGGCCCCCCTAGGAAGCTTTCTGGGTGGCTCCAGTATGACAGTCTCTACACCCCCGCCCCTACCCTGCTCTGTCACGTGGAGAAATCTCTAGCTGCTCCCTACTGCTCCCTGGGGCCCTCCATCCTGACCTGAGGCCCTCGTCTGCAGTTTCAGGGCCTGCCCAGAGGGGAGAGGCAAAACCACCGGGCAGTGAGCAACACAGGCCCCAATGCTGTCTTCACAGAGAAAAATACCTACTCTCCATGGCATTCTGATGCCTGACCCCAGGCTGACCCCTGACACACTCTGACCAAGACGCCAGAGGCCTGACACACTCATGGAGCCTCCGGGGTTATGTACTTGTGCCCTTCCCTTCCCTTCGGTCACCTTCTCTCACTCCTCTGCACCCCCTTCCCCCCGATTCATAGTTCACCCACACTCACCTGGCCCTGTGGGTCCTTGAAGCAAAAAGAAAACTCTTCCTCGGGCGTGAAGAGGTGAAACGTGCACCTAGACAGGTGGAGGAGACAAGCAGGCCTCAGCCATGTCCAGGAGGGTGTTGGGGAGGGCCCAAGTCAGAGCCCTGGGGTGCAGGTTTCATGGGGTACAGGAGGAAGGCTGGGTTGTCACTGGAGGAGGCTGCTCACCCGTCCTGCTCAGGATCCACCCATACCAGCTTCAGATCAAAGGTGTGAACACTGTGGCCCTGGAAGATAAGGCACAGGTGTCATCCAGAGCCCAGAGCAGACACTCACTTACTCTTCTGGCCCAGCCTTGCCCCGAGCACCAGCCTGCACATGACACCCCTGCTGTCCCCAGGCTGCTCAGTCCAGCATGCCCAGCGCTGAATCCCTCAGCACCCCCGCCTGCTCCCCATCTCCAGGCAGGTCCTCTAGCTCCCTTCCCACTCAAGGGCCTGGCCAGGAACCTGGGATCAGCTCCCCCGGCCCCCAATCCTGCTCCATCACAGCCAGTAGAATGGTCTTCTGGAAATGCAGCTCAGACCCCATCAGCCCCTGCGAGAAGCTTGTCTAAGGCTCCTGCTGCCTGGGGGGTGGAGACTCCACTGCTGGGCCCACCACCTGAGACCACGCAGACCGCTCCCAGCTCACGTGTCCCCACCCGTCACCCCCTCCACACCACAGCGCCACGGCCACTCCACACTCGCACCTTCTCGAGCTTGCCCCGAATCTCGAGAAGGTGTGAGCTGATGTGCCTTCTACCCGAAATACCACCCCTGCTCTGACAGCCAGACTGAACGTCCTTTCCTCTGGGAGATTTTGTGGAGTGACCTCCCACCTGGCCCGGGAGGGCTGGTCACTGCCCCACTGCCACAGGAGCGGGCGCCAGGCCCCGGGCTGCAGGGAGGAGGAGTGTGCCTGACCCAGACCACAGAGAAGAGGACGGACAAAGGTGCAGAGTCAGGAAAGGGCTCGGCGCCTTTAAGGGGTAGCATCTCTCCGGTGCCCCTGGAGCAGAGTGTGAAGTCCCGAGTGGATGGGAGCTCAAACTGATCGGAACAAACGCCAGAACTAGGCTCAGGGGACACAAGTTTGGGGGGGTGCAAGCGACACCCCAGCCCGGCCTCAGCCTCCCTGCTTCCAGGGGAGCTCCAGACTGACACTGCGGGGGACAGAGAAGACAGTGCTGTGGCTGTCACCGGGCCATGCGACAATCCCAAACCCAGGCCTGGCTCCCTTCTGATTTGTGTGTGCCGAGAGCCACCTCTGCTGCTCGGCACTCTTCTCTAGAAGCTGGCAGGTGCCCTGAATGCTCATGCAGCCCTCCTCAGCCGCCGAGGGCCACCCACAACCTCTCCAATCTGAGGACTCAGAGTGTCCAGCTTCCGCTGAAGGACGAACTCACTCACAATTATCCCGTTTTCCGAATGAAGAACACGAGGTGAAGGCGTGAGCCGGGAGGCCGGCCGGGAAGGGCTGAGGCTGGGACCCACCTGGAGCAGCCCTTCCCTGCCGCCCCTGCTCCTGCAGAACCACGACGCCGGCCACCCGCCCCGGCCCCCCGCCTTTCTACCCCTTCACTCCCACCAGCCCCAGTGCTTGCTCCCACCTGTCTGCTTCTTCCCTGCTCCTTTTTCAACCACCCCCTGACCCCTGCGGTGGCCCCCAGACCTCCGGTCAGCCCCATTCTAACCTGCAAAAGGACAAGGACATCATCGAAGAGCAGCACACGCTCTGCCCGCAGCGGGGTGACCGTCACGGGTATGTCCTGGCTGTCTTGCAAGAGTCGGCGAGTGGGGGTGCAGAGTGCGTCCTGGCGAGACGATGGGGGAGGCACAGGGCTCAGGCACCCCTGTCCTGGCTGCTCCACTGCCTGCCTCCGCCCCGGATGCCCACTGATCCGAGCATCTCCTGGAGACCCCCAGGTCAGTGATGGACATTGATGGACAGTGATGGGGATCCGAGGTCTGGAGGGTCATTCCCAGCCACTCGCAGCAGGGCAGCACGACTTCTCTGGAAGCATCACTGTGTCCTGCCCATCCCACCTCAAGCCACAGCCCCAGCCAAGCTCCCACCAGCTCTCGTCCAGGGTTCTGCAGTGCCCGCCTCTCTCTGGCAATTCTTGTCCTCCTGACCTGTTCTGATTCTCTACCCTGGGTTCCAAGCCTGTCACACGCTCTCAGGGAACAGGGGACTGTCCCCTCTGCAGGGGCAGTATGTGCCACAGTGGGCAGGGACGTGGGATGCAGTTGTTTGGTGACATCCCGAGAGAGGGTCAGTTCTGCAGATCGCTCCTCCCCAGAGCCAGCTCATGGCCTGTCCCACGAGGTGCTCAGCAAATGGGTGAGGATGGCTGGACAAAGGAGCCTCACAGCCACCTGGTTCAGCCACCCCCCCTGCTTCCGGGTGGGGAAACTGAGGCACGGAGAGTACACCAAGCAGCTCTAGTGACCCAGCAGCCCCCTGACAGCCCCTCAGGCCTCGAACTCACCCTTTGCCGGCTGCTCAGGGCGTGCCAGAGGGCCTGCGTGGCCACAGCCTGGTCCAGCTCCTGCCTCATGAAGGACTGCAGGTCCCCGAAGAGGGCGGCTGCGTGCACCACCAGCTCCCGAGTGGGGTGATGCTGCGGGGCACAGAGCAGCCAGGGCGGGAGCCTCATCAGAACTCCCCGCAGCCTGCAGGGCTGCCTGGCCCCGGCCTGGGTCTCAGCTGAAGTTTTCCCTTCCTCCCTGCCAGCTCCGCCTCCGGGGAGCGGCCAGCATGAAGGTGCTTCTCGGGGAGTCAGGACCATCCCGTGACTCCCCCAGCTGGGCCTGTGTCCTCACACCCCTATATGATTCCACGTCTGCTCTCTGGGTCTCTGCCGGCTCCGTCGGGGCAGGGCCAAGTACCTCAGACACTCCAGGGCAAAAATATGCCCCTTCGAACCCCCCAGAACAGGGCCGTGTCCCCCAAGCCTGGCCCAGTCCTTCTCAAACCAGGGCTCCTGAGCCACGGCCCACCTACCTCCCCGATGCTGTCCCCAAGGCTCAGCAGGAGGAGCACGTACTGCTGCACGTGATGGGTGAGCGGCTGGCGCAGGGCCTGGACCAGCGCGGTGCCCACCGAGCCCTCGGAGCTCACGCCCCACAGCAGCTGCCGCAGCGCCTTCCGCTGGCCCCGCCAGTACTCGCTGGGTGGAGGGAAGGCCACGTGTCACCTTCGCTCTCCCCTCCTCCAACCTCACACCCACCACCATCGCCCCACCCCCCGGCCCTGGCCGATGCCCCAGGTCCAAGCACCGGTCCCAGGCCCCAGGCCGCTCCCCCAGCGGGTAAATGCAGAGTCTGAGTGCCCCTCTTGGAGATTCAGCAGCAGTACCTGGTGTTTCAAGGGATCGGTGGCCACAACCGTCCACGCTGAGTGGGAGTGTCCCCTTTCCCACCCTAGGGTCACCCTGCCTAGTGGATACTTGGAGTCTGCTCACTAGGCTTCCCTCCCTCTCTTCCAGTGAAGACCAGCGAGGAGTTGTCAGAGCCAGGAGTGCTCGGGATGAGTCACGGGCCGTGACACTCACTGCTCTGGGACGGGCTTCCCCAGCCCTCCCTCGCAGACCCCGCCGCCCGGAGGCCCGCCGCAGGCCCATGCTCACCTCCTCTTCTTTGCCGTCTTCTGAAAGGCCTGCACCGCCACGCAGCTCGTGTAGGACTTGATGTACCTGCAGGCAGCACAGGGACACCCTGTAGGCCCAGCCCCCTACTCCAGACCCGAGCCCCTGCCCTTCCGGGGTCCCCAGATCCCACTCACTGAGTGGCTGCAGCCCTGAGGGCCTAGGCAGTAGCCTGGCTCTAGGCTTTGGTGACCTCAACCCCTGACTGACCCGATGAGACAATTCTGGCTCACAAATTCTTCCCTGGGAGGCCCCAAGTCTCAGGCCTGGGGTGTCTGAGCCCACACCAGGCTAATGCCCAAGGCCTCTGAGGCTGACCCTAGGGGAGCCCCACCCCAGGCTCAACCCAAACCTCTGCCCAAGACCTGACCCGGGTGAGCCCTGGTGCCTGGGGAACCCTGACGCCAGGCCGAGCCCCAGGCCCCCTCACTGTCTTACTCCAAGTAGACCTGCAGGACGCCCTCGGCACCGCGCAGCAGCAGCAGAGACTCTAGGCCGACAGTGTCCGGGTGGCGCAGCCTCTCGCGCAGTGAATGCAGGCTTTCCTCCGTCACCTCCCAGAGCTGCTGGGAGCACCTGTGCAGCTGCTGCAGGAGCTGCAGACACTCTCTGCCCCGGGGGTCCGACGGCTCTGGGGCTGGAGCAGGAAGCACAACCATACCGTGAGGGGCACACAGGGACCCTGATGGTCACCTAGGCGCCAGCAGCACCCCACAGCCCTGGAGCTGCTGCCAGGGCCCTACATCCCTGGGGTCCTTGGGCCAAGACTGGGAGCTGATGTGCCCCCTTGAGCTCAGCAGGGGATGGGCAGGCAGAGTGGTGAGCAGCACCCCGAGGCGTGAACATGGGCACATATCCACCTCCTCCTTAAACAGGGACAGCACCGATGACCTAGGGGCACCAAGTATACTAATGCCCCCTGAGTCTTGGCTTCCTCAGACCCAGAATGTGGGACCCAGAGGGTCCTGCAGTCTCCACCATTCACGGATGCATGGCCAGAGCCCGCAAGAGGAAGGCACCTGCTCCAGGTCACTTTGCAAGTGAGACCCAAGATGGAAGTAACACCCAGGCATCCTGCCTTCTGGTGGTGCCCTGGGGAAGCTCAAGATGAGAATTCAGCCAGAGAATCCTGCCTGAGCCCTGGGAGAAGTAGAAGCTCATCTTTATGCACAGCCAGGTCTGGGCTAGGACAGGGTTCGTGGCCTGGCTGCTCAGGGTCCCTCTGAGAAAGGAGCGGTCAGCATCAGGAGGCCAGGACCCCAGATGCCGACACCAAGTGTCAGCGCTTACATTTGAGGGTAAGAAAGCTGTAGCTCAGATTGCCCAACAAGGTAAAACTCCTGTCCCTGGACAGCTCCTTTGTCCCCCATCCTTCCCAGTGGAGAACCGAGGCTCACCAGCTGCGAGCAGGGGCTGGAGGACGAGGCTGTTGATTCGGGCGAGGGTGGCCGAGAAGACCTCCTCCAGCCGAAGCAGGGCCGACTCCTCAGGGCTGCACATGGCCAGTGTGCCAGCCGGAGGGCCTGTGAACAGGGCACAGATTAGAGTGAGACAAAGCTGGGGGACCAGGGTCAGTGCCCGAAGCAAGGTCCATGACTCCCACACACATCAGAATTGAGCGAGGAGCCCAGGTCGCCTCAAAGGGAAGTTCCCAGACACTGGCCACTGACCCCTGCCCCACTCCCCGCCTGGGCCCAGCTGAAGCTGAGGGGAGCCTGAAGGAGCGGGAGACAGGGCTCGGAACTGCCAAGAGAAGCATCCCTTTTTACCCCAAAAGGCAGAGAGTCCTCAGGCCCAGTTCTGGTCCACTGTCGACTCCTGGGCTCATAGAGCCGCCATGGCTCCCAAGGGCTCAGAGTGACATCTCGTGGTGCGCCAGCCCCCTCTCCGCTGGGTCTCTGGAAACAAGGACATGCCGTCAGGGGAGCCCAGCCGTTCTCAAGGCCAAGGCTCAGGATTCTGTCACCCAGTAGGGCTGGGGGACTGAGGGAGTTTCAGCAGAAGCCACAAAGGCTGGGCAAGAAACAAAAAGGCAGAGAGAAGGCCTGCAGGCAAGGGCAGAGGCTCGCAGTCGGGAGGGCCCAGGCTCTGCTAAGGGGTCGACAGAGGAGCCATGGAGGACCTCAGAGCAAGGGAGCGGTGTCAGTCAGACTTGGGGAGATGGACTTGCGACAGCTACAGAGGAGATGGGGCCAAGTAGTAAAAGGGTGAGGTCAGTGTGAGTGGGACCCTCCATGCACCCTCCCGCCAGGCCGACCCTGCTGGATGGGTCTTGTTCGAGAAGTGGGGCCGTAGGGGTGGGCAGGTGGGCTTGGCTTTTGGAATTCCTTGTAGGGACCCTCCAAGCAGGCAGCGATCACCTGAGAAGGTGGCCTCCTGCCTGGAGGGAGGAGCAGCAAGGACCTGGGCTCAAACCCACCCCACAGCCAGGCTGCAGCCTCCAAGCGGTCACAGCCCTCTGCCGCTAGACCGTGGCGCCCTCACCTGACAAAGAAGGTCATCTGCCCAGACTCTGCCTCTCCCTGGCGATGATACTCCGAGGCTCTCAAGTTAGCTGACCTGGGTGAGGTGGGAGACATATCGAGGCAGCCAGTGACGGGCAGGCGACAGAGGCAGACCCAAGAGGAAAGGGGTGTCATCCCTCCCCACCCTGGGAGCCTACGACTCCCAGGGCACTGGCTCTGGGGCCGAGTGGAGCAGATGCCTCAGAACTCTGGCCAAGGGCCCAGGGCCAGGCATTCCGCCCCACCTTTCCTGCTGCTGCTGCTTCAGGAGGGCGAGGCCTTGGGAGGGAGCGGCAGGAAGGGGAAGAGGCTGGACTGCAGCTGCAGCCGTCTCCCCATGACTGGCCTGCAGTAGCCCCAGCCCCTGGGGGAAGGAGGCAGGTTGTTCCAGGTCAGCCCAGGCAGACCAGGAGAGCGCGGCCAGGGGTCGGGGGTACAGCAAGTGTGGCCTGGCGCACCCGACCCTCACCCATATCTCCAGAAACTGACAGAATGGAAAGGCCCTTTAAGGTAAGCTTTCCATCCTCAGCGGGCAGGCAGTTGGGGTCTGAGCTGAGAGGTGAAGGCTATGGCTAAAGGCAAAGCAGGGAGGGTGTGGCCAGGATGGGAGGTACAGGCCAGGAACCAGTTTGGAGTAAGCCAGGGACCCACAGTAAATAACACTGCTGGGAGGCCTTGAGCACCAGTACCCCTCACACTCATGGGGCCAAGCGGCCCCGCCCACATCAACACCACACACAGGGCACAGAGCTCTCTGCCCCTCTCCCCCATGGGGTGGCAGTGCTCCCCTACCCTGGAGCTTGGCCCCCCTATGCAGCCGTTCCGCCCTCACCGTGCCCCAGCTTATCTACAGCCCTGCTCCCCTCTGGGTCTCAATCACCTCCTCTATGAAATGGGGGTCCGACTAGCTCGGAACTTTTCAAACATTTCCGTCCTCCCTAAAAAGGATAAATCGGTGGAGAGGAGCGGCTCTGGGTTCGGGGACCTGGTGCCCAGCCTCTCTCACCTCTCAGCAGCCTGGGGCCCCGCAGGGCGTCTTACATACCTGGCTTGCAGATACTACTCCAGGGCCCTTCCAGGTCTGTGGCCCCCCAAAAAATCTCTTACCCTGGGAAACTGAGTCATGCTGTCTACAGGAAAGGCCAGAAGGTAAGCACGGCTGGTGGGGCGGTGGGTGTCGGGAGGCTGCAGTTAAGGCGGGGGATGGAGGGGGCCTGGTCTGGTGGCCCCAGGATAGGGAGTTTTGGGCTTCATCCTGGAGGTGATGAGGAGGCTGTGAGGGCAGGGGTGCGGCCAGCTGTGAGTATACGTGAGTGTGTGTTCGCAGAGGAAGAAGAGGAAGAGGAGGTGCTGAACCTTAATATGAGAGGGACCCAGTAGGAGTCCTCTCCTCTCTAACCTGGTCTCACCCGACTCGCCTCTCTCCGGTCAAGGGCATGGCCTCTTCACCCACTCTCTCTATCCAGTTCTAAGGTTCCCCAGTGGCAGGCTGCACATGCTGTATGTATGGGGGTCCTGAGGCCCAGGAAGGCCCAGGAGAGCCCAGAGACAGAACCTGCAGAGCATGTACAGGAATCAGACCCGGGTCTCGGACTCCCAGTCCCACCAGGCTCACCTGAGCTAGGTGATTTGGAGAAGCTAGGTGACTCACCTGAGGGCACACAGCAAGCTACTGGCAGGGCCCAGCCTCCTACCTCCTCAGGCAGCCTTAAGGTTCACCATGGGGTGGAGTGAGCCCAGAATTGGCCAGTCTTGGCGTGCCCAGGTGAGTCAGCTGCCTGTCCCTGTGTCGGTCTAACCAGCGGCCAGACCTGCTCCCTCCTCTGGGTTCCTGGCCTCTGTCCACACTGGGTCCGTCTCCAGCAGGGTCACTACTAAGGCCTCCCCTGCCTCCTCCAAGACCTGGCCCCTCCGGCCCCTCAGCCACACCCTGTTATGGCACCCATTCTGGTATTTCCTGGCCTGGACATGCAAGGAAGTTCTACTTGCTGTGGAGAATTTTTCTGGGTGGCTCTGCAGTCCCCTCGATCAAGCAGCAAGCCCAGTGGTAGATAGAGAGAGGGGCTGCCCAAGGGAGGGGCGTGGAACTGTCACAGCTGACTCCTCAGTCTCCACCTGGGCCTGTCCCCCAGCACTCCTCCTCCGCCCCTCCATGGCTCCGAGCTTCTTGTCCCTAGAGGCTCCCCCTGACCTCTCTAGACGCATACCTCACAACTTCCTTCCTTCTCCCAGCCCAGACACACGTAATCACTGGAGTTTCCCAAACATGGGCTCCTTTTCCAGCCAATAGGCACTTGCCCATGCCGTTCTCACTGCAAGCGTCACCTCCTCCGGGCAGTCTCTCGGGCTGAGTAAGGCCCCACGGCCCTCGCACCGCGGCTCACGCCAAGTCCCAGCGCACTGCGTGCCTGTCGCGCCCGACCCCGGGCGGGGGGCTGTTCCTGAGGCGCCCCTAAACCCGAGCCAGACGGGTGCCCACAGGGCAGGGAGGATGAAGCTGAACCCCGCCGGGACAAACTCGGACGGCCCAGGTGTGAGTGCCGCCAGGAGCCATAGACGGACGGCGATGCGCGGGCCAGAGGGGGCGCGGAGGCGAAAGCCCGGCCAGCGGCGGGGAGAGCGCAGAGGAGGAGCCGGCGCCAAGACGCGCAGCCCCACCCCGCCCTTACCTGTGCGGTGGGGCGCCGGACGCCAGGAGAGCCCTGCGGGGGTGCGCTCGCC